TAGGTCAGCTTGTTCTTTGTTGTTAGAGTCCAACAGCTGGTTGTGATCTGTTTCCGTGGAACATGCTTTAAATATTTATACTTTTGATATATACTTTCATAATTATGTGCATTTGCTCATGACCTGTCACATTAAAAACGCTGATTGTTGTTTATGTGTTTTTGTGTTAGCTTGAGACACTCTGTGCAGACTTAGGGGCATCAAACAACCGAAAATTATCTCGGCGGACGTGATAATTTTTCCTTTCCTATTATAATAATGGAGTTTGCCCGAGTAGTATTTGAGGCTCGCCACTGTACAGAAATCGGAAGCAAACGATATTTATTGTCGCCAAATTGACATCCGGAGAAAAAGTTGTTTACTATTCATCAACGGTAATATGTCTTACAGCATATGCTCGTCATCTGTTTTGCAATTTGAGCCAATATAACCTAGGTCAACGCCGATTGGATACCCAATTTTAACACATATCAGTCAAGACAATCGTAAATCAGCTTGCTTTTGGCGATTTTTAGTCAACGAATCGAATCCTGCCTTGACAGCTTCGAATCAACTGCGACCCGTCGGTAATCAGTACGCGTTCGACCAGCAGATGTCTAAATATTAATTTGCCTTGCCACTGTGACGCGCAATTTGGCATTACCTTGCCCATAGCAACGAATATATTGCAGTTTTAAAACAAATAAATAATATATAAATGTTTCTTCTTATCTCCGGTGTATATTGATGATTACAGGCGTGCAATTTGTACACGTTGCAATATTTATGACACGATTAATAGATATACTCATACATAGGCCACTGAAGATTAATAAATAATTCATTCAAACAGGAAATTTACATCGAAATCAAAAAGTCGTTATTTGTAAACAAGTTCAAACCATATTGTTCTAGAAAAAGATACATAGATTGAATACATTGTTTAAAAAACCCAAAATAACTTATTTTTTCACACAATATTGTACATGTAACATGTTATTTGCATATGACGTGTTGTATGTTACATAACCATGGTAACTATTACAGAATGGCGCTCATAACCTAATGCTTGTTGTTTTCTATTGTGTCAGGGAAGTAGCATTCACGAGCGAAAAAAACGGAACTTTGCCTGAAATATTTTGATTTAATATTAATCTAATATAATGCATCCAAACATTTGTTGAATGATTAATTGGCTCCTACATGAACAGCAGTTTGATAGGGTAGCAGTTATAAACCATTTAAAAAGGACAATACATTGGATATTATATAACTCCACTCGCTGTGTCTATAATTTCATTATACGACTTTATCAGTCACTGCTCGTATACCAATTGATATGTGTCGACAAATTGCTGGATGTACTAGTTCAACACAGCGAACTGAAACAATTCATATGACGTGTACGTATGCACCTGTAAACCATGGTGTGAATAGTATGTTATTAAAATGATCTATTTCAATCCTGCCTTACTTTACTGCAATTCTTGTTTTGCATTAAGCCAATTGCTTTTTTTTTTTTTTTTTTTTTTTTTTTGAGGCGAGGAACGATTAAGCGCCAATGCATCGGTCTGATTTCATACAAACGCTTTGGAAAATGATACGTATGTAACCAATCTTTTATAAGCCGACTACTGCAGATGAGCTATAATCGTAATCGTGTTTCTGATTTCATTAAATATTTCCCCCTCATAACGATAAATCAGTCCAGGCGTGTTGCATATATCACCATAACAGTAACATTATGAAGTATTACATTTGAATTACGCAGTACATAATATGTTGTAAATTTATTCGTCGAAATTAAATCGCTCTATCCATTCTGCGTTACCAATATCATTACCTTAGTTTCTGGGAAGAAATATCATCCGTATCCATAGCAATGATGGTGTGTGATTTACGATAATGGTCTACTTGATCTACTGACATGGTCTGTATCACAGAGAAGCGGATGCAAATGATTTTCGGTGAAAAATTGCATAGTAGTTGGCTACGGACAGGCGCTGACTGAAAAAGGTTGCTATAAACCTGTCATCTGACTAAATAACTGCATTGCACCACTGCTTCAAAACTTAAACATTGAGTAAGAGTTACTAAGGCGTACGGACTAAACAGCGAACATATTGTGACTGCAATGAATCCAGCATTATAATACAAGAAATAGACAAGAGATGAAAGCATAAGCCTACAGTGAAGAAGTGTGTAATGCAAAATAAAAATTAGTCTATGTGTTGTAATTATGAAATTTAATGCATCGCAACAGTGTCTGTACAATTGAATGAATGGATGAATGAATGAATGTACAACAGAATGAATGAATGAATGAATGAATAAATCAATGAATGAATGAATTAATGAATCAATCAATGAATCAATAAATCAATGAATCAATGAATGTGGTTAATGGCTAAACATGTATAGAACTCTATTACGTCATCATACAGTTTATGGCACACACATACATACTTATGCAGTTATTGTTTAGAAAGTATCTTTATTTGCTGGCATTGTCTTGTTGTATATTACTTGTGAGATGAACGATTGTATCATTTATTTTTCTTTCACAACAGGACGATATAATTTATATCTTGATATGTGTAATTTTATGTTTGTTATTAAATTATCGTTTACAGAATCTTTGTACAAGCCTTCTTATATTCTGTCTATCTACCACGATAGTGATCAGTTGGTGTTGATGAATCGCTAATCTACCCACTTTCTCAGCACATTCACATGGTAACATTGTGATACATACAAGACTTCCATTCTAGGAAACTATTCATTTTGTCTGCTGAGCAATTCGCGTGTTTGGTATCTCCGCGAGATGACTAACTAACCATTGACAACTATTAATGTCAAGATCAAATATGGTCTTATGCATAATAAAATTACACATATATATATGTTTTATTGCAAGACTCTTTGAAACTTGTATAATAAATACAAAGTTATCAATATTCACAAAAACGGACATACTCTGACTGAATGTTGTGGTTGTCGCGACTGTTACATAATTAGAATTCACCACTGTACGTTGCTAACGGCTTTATTATATCACATCATGCATCTATAATGCAGTGCCTCGGGGAGAACAATTACAATTCTCACTGTTATTAGTGCTTATAACGCGCAGACGTGTTCTCTTCAAGGGCACGCACACTAATCAACATAAACACGCTCCAGTTATTTCTCGCGAGATTGTCGCATAGTTGCTCGTCACGGTTTCCAATGATATGTGTAACATATCTCTGCATATTTACATATTACCACAAGCGTTTTTTTTCTCGGATCAGTATTGACGATCTGGTAACCTCGAGCTCCTATCTCATAACACCTGATAATTCATGGCGTTAAATAATAGATGAGCATCTTCATTTTCTGATTTATGCCTGGAAATTAAACGTCATGGGGGCTATCAACGAATAGTAAAAGTCAACACGGGTATTTATAAATATACATTTTATTTGCATTCTGCGTCATATAAAGAAATTGGCATATGTTATGCACGACCTCCAAAAGGTCACACATCCTGGTACTTTCCGGGAAATCAGATTCACTATTAATGAGTATAGCCCCCCACCCCCACCGTTAGTAAAAATGCAAGCAGTTGTTATTGAGGTTCAAAAACAGATAAACATGACGAAAATTGGTGTATAATATTGAAAATTATTTTTGTTATGGACCAATGTTTTGTTTTATCTTTACGATAAATCACAAATCTTTTTTTTTTTAAATAAAATGATATAAACGAAATAAACACATAGGCATGGTGACTCAACGATGTATTTTACAAAACTAGCATGAGAGCATTGTCGTGCATTTTATACAAGTTCTATGGGATCACATCCTGGTACATTCATTCGACTAACAAGTATTTTGTATAGGGATGTTACGAAATAAACGACAAAACACATGATGTGAGGGAAGTCTCGAACTGCTCGCTAATTAATGCAACACACGTAAAAACACAAACGCATTAATATTCATTCACCAACATCATAAATTATACTTTATCGCATCTCACGGCAACTCCTGATTCGTTAGCATTAACTTTTTGTGCGTGAAGAATCCTGGAAATCAATTTTATTTTTTACTACCTCTCTTGAACCTAGACGCCTGAATGTCAAGAAGATTCATAGGTTTAACGCAGTCACGTGACGTGGGTGTATTAAGTTAGGTTGCTCGTATTTAATGATATGTGGAATTACCCCCTCCCCCGCTCCCGCCCCGCTAAATCTGCAACGTCACAATTACGTGTAAGCAACAACGTTTTTACATTCAGGTTAACAGTAGTGCGCATATTGCACAATAACTGAACTGAATCATATTTGACTACTATTGATATATGTATTATATTTTATTTTATTTTATTAAATAACAATTATCTGAATCAAGTATGAGTTTATCGCAACCGGTACCCAGTTCGCATTAGCCAGATTGAAATTTACGTACATATCTGATTGGATGTTGATATCATTTCTATCTTCGATTGCTATTATTAGATATATAAGTTAATTGTGTATTTGAATGGGGATAATTCAATTTATAATGCATTGCCTATATCTTTATTATTTCATCAAAAACGGAAATATTTAATCATTTTTAGCAACGTGTTCAAAAAAGGAATCGCTGAATTACTTAGGACCATCTACATAAATGGCTTGCTGGCTGCAAATGAAACAAACACCGAATGTTGGATTTTGATTGTTCGTCTATATAAGAAAGGGAGTATTCGGCTATTGTCTGTATAATCCTAGAGAGTGTGTGACCATAGCAAACCCATGGGATATATGCTAGCTTTGTTGCATGTAACGGTGTACGCAACGACTGCTAACACTGGGTATAATCAAATGGGCGTAGTATATAGAGTTGATTCTAAGGTCGCCATCCGTGCGTATTTGGATACATTTCTCTCTTATACCTACACCGAGTATAATTAAGTTAAAGTTTCGTATGTTTTATTTTTTGCGTTTATGTTGCCATCCCAGCATTAATTCTGATTAGAAATAAACAGTGCTTACCTAATAGCAGTAATTTGACTTCTCTATCTGCTCGTTGTTTTGCGGCTTTTATGTCCCTGTCAATGAGTTTAGAATGATGAGCCGCACGTCGGTCCTGGTAGCTATTTCCACAGCACGTTACCATAGTGAACCCCTTTACCATGGTGAGAAAAACGCATCAAAACGACGAACGAACACTGCCAATGATCTATGGTTTCAACGGCAAGCGGTTTTGTGCGACAACTCCTGTGTTTTATCCACGTTTGTGTCGCTTTTCTGTTCAGTAATATGCATGGGGTATTTCCAAATCAAGGCTCTAAATTTATGAAGTTCGCAGTCGAGCAACGTCAGATTACTCCTCTATCTACTACAGATACAGATGTTCGTTTTAGATGTCGACACAACTGGTATGTTGAAATCCATGTAAGACTGTATTAAATCCCAGCGCGATTACACGACTGATGATACCGGCGTCGAGTCTAACACAGCGTTAAACCGAAGAACATTATGTGGCCGGGAAGCCTCCACAGGCTTGGCAACTAACGGCGATGAAGGTGCACTCGCCTTTAAATAATACCTTCCCCCAAACCGATTATGACACTCTTCCTCCTACAAGAGAAATTAATACACCTTGGAACGTGTTTGACTTTGCACGCGCTGTGTACGAAGTTGACAGGCTACACACATACACGATATAGTCAGAACTACGCAGAAGGCGCACCCAATACAAAAGGGCATGGGTAATGTTTGTAGCTTTAACTGTGCGAATGATGATGATTCGGCAAGCCGGGGAGAAATATTATAGTGCGACGGCTGCTCAGTTCTGCTTCATTTACAGCGCCCTCTTGAAGGGAATGTGAGAGATATCATTTCTCCCAACCGATATTTTTAGATTTTTTAGTTAGATAAATCTCAATAAAAACAGTTCGATTCAAATGACAACAATTTTTGCCGTAGATGGTAACAAGCTGAAATGCTCATTATCTCGTGATTCGTTTCCATTGTTCACATAACATTAACATATTAAAGATATCGCAGGTGGGCGATGTTAGACTGAACAGTCAACATATTAATATTTATGACATTTTCAAGCAGACCACTGAATTCTTGGTAGATCAAAAGACAAGAAATCTTCCTTCGAGCTAATAGTTGTGAGTGTCAGCCTAATCATGAGTCTAGTACAGTTAATTCAAATGTTTGTGATACCTAGGTATCAATAGTCTGATCATGAGAGCAAAGTCTCGCCCTAATGCATGATGTCAATCGGTTCTGGAGGATCTACACATTTATTTTGCCATCCTGGTATAAAAACCACGTTTACCATGAAGAAAAGACTAAATAATTAAACAATTACCAGCGCATTTAATTTGGCCCAGCAACACATACTCGAGCCTAGTGAGACATTTGACATGAACTATACATATAACCTTATGTAATATCTGTATTATCTTGAAACAGTTGGGCTTGTACACTGGCAAAGTGTCGATGTCATTCTACGCCGTTCTGTGATGAACATCAGGAACATATGTTTTTGTACTTCCCCAATTCTTCAATCGCAAATTCTTTCGAAGATAATATGTTATTTATACGACACATAATTAAAATTTTAAAGCCATATAATATTATATTATATTATATTGTATTATTTAGAATTGTATTTCTATTAATTTTAATATTGATCCTTTTTCATTTTAACACCTGAACACTGCATTGATGAATATATTATTTAAATTTTCAAGATTAAACCTGACTTTTGGAGTGTTTAAACAATCTTATTCCTGAGAACTAACTTGATTATGTACATTTTACCATCGACTTACGCATTACTGTAAAACAAGTGAATAGACTAAGTTTATCTAATTAATAACTAAAACACCATGATCAAAAGGTCAAAGGTTATGTGTTTCAAAACCTGAGGACTCAAGTCTTACTGATATTTTGACTCCAATCCTTGAGCAGTGCAATAACAATGACAGGAAAAAAAAAGAAAATTCGTCCCTCGTATCAAAGTTCGTTGAACTGCGAACAGAGTTGTCAAATTAAACGAATGTTTCATACAAGGATGGCAAAATAAATTTGTTGACCCTACAGAACAGATTGACATCATGAATTAAGTTGCGACTTTGCTTTCATGATCAGACTATTGATACCTACCTATCACACATATTTGAAGTGAACTGGACTCATGATTAGGCTGGTAATCGCAACTACTAGCTCGAAGAAAGATTTTTTGTCTTTTGATTAATACCTCATATAAAGAATACAAACTAACATTTCAATCGAAATATTATAAATATATTTCTGCATATGCCCATGAAACAGTACCAATGGCGGTAATATTGTTGCCAGATGTTCATAAGTTACCTGGACTCGTACGTATGCATAATTACCCACACATTTACAAAGTAAAAGGCCGCTGGCTTTATTACGGTGTATTCGTGATATCATTGTTTCATGCTGAGAAAGTACATTACACTTATAATCACAGGGTTTCCACAAGGTCGGTGATAAGAGTAAACAGTTAACACTGACTAACATTGATGGCACGATAGAAATACACATGAGGTCGCGTGTAATTTATGTTGTGTGTGAATATCCTATTACGGGAGTACCATGTATTTTGTGTAGGTTTTCTGTTCCCAATTATGACATCACAGACCTGAATTTCCCGGGATTGTTTGTTCGTTATCGTTGATTTGTTCACCATGTACTGGCTGGTTTTAACTAAGGTATAGAAATATTATATCATTAATGAAACGATATAGACCATACAGTAAAATATCACCCCATATTCGATTACTCCGCATATTCTAGCTAGTGTTCAACGGTCAGCTGAGAATAAGTACTCAAACAGAAAACACGGCAGTTTGCGGAGGTTGAAAAGTGAATAACGTTTGGAACGTTATGTTATAACTTGTGTAGCCGCTTTCACCGAGACATTCCATTAATCGCACAGGTAAATCCCATAGTTTATGAGTAATTTAATACTTTCCCGAATCGTTAATAAAATAATACAAATAACGTCATAATCAGGTATGATTAACATTAATTTATTCCATGGATAGTTTTAAATCAAATTTGTGCAATAATACGATAATTCCTATAAACTATGAAGTGATCCAAATGCTCTGATTATGAGCGTGCGGGTGTACTGATCACAGTTTATTTTCCATGCGCGCAATTAGCGGTGCACCAACAAATAAAGGATTCTACTGCACATACTAGCAGCCGGAAATTGTGTCCCAGTAACAACAATTTTTATATTCGATGGTCTCTGAAAATACTATTGATAATAATTTGTGTTTTTTCTTTAAACATAGCTTTCAAAAGCCGTGATAGGTATATCGCAGTCATTAAAGAATTCCACGTGACATTACTTATAATCTTAACTGACAAGCCTGGCGCATTTGCGGAAGCTCCCTGACAAAGCAGAATAATATTTCCGGTGATGATCCTTATAAAAATAGGAATTTTTCGGGATGCTAATTAGCGGACAACAGACTACGTCAAAGTACATCACCTTAATCAACACGGTAATTAGATTAACACATTTACAAACGTGTGTAACAATGAATTGTCATGGTAAATATGTATATATTAACAGTGTCAAACAGATACGCAGAAATCTCAATAAGTTAGCATGCGTTCGTCGTCTCCCAGGGTTCAACTTCATGGTTATCTGTGCAAGAGTGTTAGGGTTCAAGAATGTAATTAACATCGTTACCAGTAAAAGCGTCCAACAGGCCTGTTGCTCTGTGAAGCACATCTTTTTTTATGACTAGCACGGATAAAATATACGACCCATCATCAATTCTTTAATAGGGGAGGGGTAGAATCCACATTACTGTATCTCCAGGGGGAACCCGATCGAGATGAGCTCGTTATTATTGCAGAATACCGGGTGTGGGTCATCATGCGTGCACGATCTGAGGTCAATCACATCATCGCCATCGTGGAAGTCTCTCGTAGGATTTCCATCCCACGTACTCTGTGATAGTTATCGTACTTTTTTTTATAAACATGCCTTCATGGAAAACATACATGTGTTCAGAATGCACGACGCCGATATTTGTGTGGTATTTACGATATATTTGTTTGGACTTTTTGAACATAAAGAGGTAATTTTCAGGCGCCAACATGTCTACTTTGGAGCTTATTCCACCCGCAATTTTCTATAGCAATAAATTGTCCACGATTTCATGTGTTTTTTTATACAAGCAGATACACGTATCGACTCTTGATAACGGTGTACTGGGCGCCGCGTTGTAAACATAGCCGCGGCTTTTGAGTGGTAACAGTAATAGAATAAAATGGACACCTATCAACAACCTAGTATCGCTAACACTGCTGGAAAATACGACTAATTGTCACATTTCATCGCGGCCCGGACAAAAAGATGTTTACAAGCAAGCGTATGTATAAATGACAAGCAATATCAAACGTGTCATAGTTTTCTAGTTATCACATAAATAAACGCAGGTGCCATATTGAAACATGTGAACGTGAGTGGACAATTCAATATTGTGTTTAAAATTGATGGAACTGTCAACACTCTGTAGTGCTTGAAATATATTTATGGAATATATAACATAACCTAGCCTCTCTAACTAATACAAAACTAGCGTATACGTAGCAAATATATTTCAAACGTGAGTAGAATGTTTACACTGGGGATCAGAGGTCTGTGCTGTTGAAACCAGCGGAGCATGACATGCAGAGATACATTCACCGACACAGTTGAACGATAGTGTTTCAATTTTTGGAAGGAGAACACATCGGTATATAATTCAGAGCATTGACTCGAAAAGCGTATAGCTACTTTTTTAGTTCGTATCAATAATTAATATTGATAATAATGTTGTTCGCCCCCCAAAAATGGTGTGGGTATATAATAAACCTGATATATCGAACACTAAAATACTAAATACTCTAAGTTATCCGTGCTTGGAATCAAGGTACCTGGTAAAAACACCTTTACTTTCACAACGCAGCTGACATTAGTCGCATTGAACGTTGTATCACGTCTGTGAACTTTGCCCCAACAACTGCCTGGGATTTATAAATTCAGCAGAAGTGGGGATCATATTAAAGTTGTGTGCAATTTATTAATCCGCACGTTTCATAAAGACCCCGTGATGACGGGTATAATGACTCGATTCAAAT